CGTTTCCGGACGGAAGACCTGACGGCATAACACGTCTGGATATGCCGACGGGGGCGGAGGAGGAGGAGGAGGAGGAGGAGGAGGAGGAGGAGGAGGAGGAGGAGGAGGAGGAGGAGGAGGAGGAGGGGGAGGGGGCAGGAGAGGGAGCCCCGGCCCTGGGGGAGGGGCCCTGAGGGAGCCCTGATGGGCTTCCGGCACCATGGAGAGGTCCTGCGGGGCCCCTTTCTTCTATATATACAGAAACTCCCGATCAACCGCAGAGCGGCGGATGTTAGTCAGCTCTAGCTCTACCCCTCGCCATCCACGACGCTATCTGGTGGACTATTGACATGGTGGAACATCAGGGTGAAGTGGGTTTGCGCGGAGGAATGTGCATATCTACGCACAACCGCAATGGCGCCTGCAGCGCTATCTCCGTTCTCGCGGAGCCTTCATACATGAGTCCCACTTCCCAGCGCCACTGCACTCCTGAAGTCCACCCTCCCACTCCAAATGGAAACTTTTTTGACGCACGACGCATGGCAACATGCGATGCGACAGTGCGTCGCCTCCACCCACGCCCGCGCAGGTTAACGACGACGCGTCGCGACCCGCAGCCGAAAAAAACATCCGACCACGACCTCAGGGGCCACTGGATGCAATATTTCGCTTCCAATGAGGCGCTCTCGGGCGCGCTCTCGGGCGCGCGCAGCGTGGCGGAGACGACGCGCGCACTGCCGGCCCCCGCTGGGGCGCTGCCGGCGACGTTTTTTGTTTTGTTTTTGTTTTGTTTGTTTTTGCGAGTTCGCTCGCGAGGTACGCGCCTGGATCAACGTGGCCACAGGCGCCGTGGCCCCCTCTCAACAGGCCTCAGCATTACAGCGTGGTCTGGGCGGGCTCGCAAGGACTTTGGCCATGAAAATACGTTATGGAATCATTAATTTTGGCGTGAGTATTGGTGGTCGCCACATTGACGGCGCCACCTACATCGCACTCCTCTTCAACACTAAGTTCAAAAGTCTAGAAGAGGAACGCCAACTTAAATCAGGAACGGCTCTCATCGACTTTCGCATCTATGCGGGAGAGCGGATTGGCCCGACGTTGGCAAGCTTTGAGATATCACGCTTCGAGGCCGAGACCGCAGGCTTCAATGTCCCCAACTGTCAGATCCGAACAGTCATCCTGTTCAGAGGTCCAGGCGCGGGTACGACGCGTGCACAGCAACTATCACAACCGCTCGACCACCGCATGTCAAGGACCCAGCAACAGTTTGATTCTCTACTGGAGCGCACGAGGTCTTATGCTCACATGGCTGCGCGAACCCATGGCAACATTGGTGGTGTATGTAGCCGCGGTCATCGTGCCGAACCTTTCATACCGACACTAACGCAGGGCAGCCTTTCATACCGACACAACCAACTGGGGCCACCACCGGATTAAGCCACCAACTGAGGCCACCACTTCTGGGCCCGCTACCAGGGACCGTCGGCAACGTCGGCCCTGGCCGAGCAACTTCCCTTGTAGGCTCTGCGGGGCAACCCGCCGAGTCTGAATTTTTCTTTTGGTACCGACGCCGACGCCTAATCAAACGAGGGAATTGGCGCCCTGGTTTACTCCGACATGCCTGTGCATCTCACTAACGAGCAACAGGCGCAGTGGTTATTCCTAGGATACCAGAAGCACAAACGTCGTTGGAGACGCTTTATGAAGAAATCAGTTCGCAAGGTACGACGTACGATCCGACGGGCGTTTCAGTCAAAGGGTACGGGGCGTCGGGATACGGGAACGGGTACGGGGCGTCGGGGTAACCCGACGAATGCCAGTGGGAAAACCATGGAAGGTGATATCTGCCATAGCACGCAACCTCTTCGTCGCGAGTGCCCCCCAAGGCGATGGGAGAGGCAGCACTCCGTCGATGCATTTGGCCCAAACCGATTCGGACATTCAGTATTCCGGTTGGGAGACGCCATTCGCCGAACCCGAGGACACCCCTACTGTTGCTGTCCACATCATGGCCGCCAGGCATCTGAGAGCTAGCGCGTCCCTCGGGAGATGTGCCGATGAGCTCTTCGAGGGGATCTATGTTGGCCACGGCGAGATCAACCTGGCCCACGGGCTGGGCATTCCTATCGCGGGGCAACCTGCACATATTGAGTTCGCTGAGGATTTCCACGTGCCCGCCGATTCGGACCGCGAGATGGCGGGGGCACTTGCGGACCCTGATGCTACGAAACCAGCAACAGAGGAGGAGCTACAAGTGATGCTCCAGTCGCAGGTTATTGGTAACCCTTTATACGGAGCACCATACGGCGACGGTCCTTTGCGGGGTAACCCGCGCGATGCTGGTGTTTTTTTTTCCGAGCGCACCCAAAATGCATTCGGACATAACGAAGGCTCCCACTTCGCGTTCGTAATACATGACCGATCCACAAGCCGCCCAGTTTGGAGACGAACGAGTTCATCGCAACGATGACGACGATGATGACTGGGAAACTGAGAGTCATCACCCGCAGCGTCATGGGCGGAGTCATTAGCGCGGGCACTCGCGCGCCCGTTCTAGTGGCGCACGACGTCCACATCCGCCTGATCAGAGGATTCCAAGAACTCCACCCAGAAGGGAACGCTCGCAGGGCAATCCCGCCTCAGGACGAGGATCAGCCAGGCGAACCCGAAGGCCAGGGCCTACAGCGCCTCGTCAGCTACGAAGATCACGGGTTTGCCCGCCATTATGCTTCAGCAGAAGACATGCAGTCCTGGCTCGGCCAAGGCTGGACCGAACACGACATCCGCCACTGGTACTCACTCCGCAAGGTTACACGGGATGATCGTGGCAAGATCGTCCGCACCAACAGAGGTTATGGTACTAAGTCAGCCCCCGCGCTTGAAAGCAGGGACGCAAAAAAGGGCCATCATTAAGGATCGAGACGAATACTTGTGCCAGGTCTGCAGCTGTGAAGATTTTCCGGACCGCAAATAAACCTGCCCGATGGGGCGTTCTTCAAGGAGTCCCAATTTTGAGAAGACACCGTGTGTCTGGTCTCATGGAGATGGTTTGGGTCGCAAGATTGACCCGACTCGCAATCCTCCTAGACGATGTTTGACCAAAGGTGATATCCAGTCGCTCACCGAAAAGGAGGCAAAACGCCTTGAGCAGACCACCGCCTCAAGCGATACAATCGAGAATATCATGATATGATGGCTGATGCATCACCTGCGGGGCAACCCGCTTCTTCCTCTCATGAAGGTGCTGGTATTCCGAAGGGCGACAAAAAGGATGACAATACCGGCCCTGCTGAAAGAGTTGGCCCTCCTGCTCCGTCTCATGATTCAGAGTACACCTACGAGACTGAAAGCGGCAAACCAACGGATACAGAAATAGCTAGACACCTCCAGGAAGATGGCAGGACATGGTCATTGCCTCAACGGACATGGTCCGTGCCTCATGGCCTTGCCCGCGGGATATCTAGCCGAGTACTCCTCTTCCTCCTTTTCCTCCTCCTCCTTTTCCTCCTCCTCTCCCTCCTCCCTCTCATCCTCCGCGTCCTCCTCTTCCTCCTCCTCCTGGGGCATGGACACCCGGCGCCTCGACGAAAATCGAGGCGGCTCTCGGAAGCCGACCTCGGGCCTCGAGGCAGCCAAACGACAGGTCGGGATGAGATGCCGTTCCTGGGGGCAGGGCCGAAAGTTCCGCAGGCCCACGCACCAAGCAAACTTTGCCCGGCGAAGGACCTAACCATATGCAGCTGCGTGTTCCGCAAGACATGCGGAAACTCGGGGAGAGGGCCAACAAAAGGGCTAAGGCGCGCGTTAGAAGGACGGAGCGACGTTGCTGACGGGGTCGCAGTGGTCAGTCGCAACGGGTTACATTGGACGTAGCCCGTCTCGGCTGATCTGAGCGTCTGCCGTCTCGGCCCTGGGGGACAGCAGAGCGCGATCTGGGGAGCAGCAGACGGCGGGGCCGTTGGTAGAGCTCCCACAGGGCCACGAAACGTGTGAGGGGTGTGCCGAAATGAGAGCGGTCACGCATGCGATTCCTGCCGGTGGGGCGTTCGGTGGAGCTCCCTTGGGGGCCGCGAAACGTGCGAGGGTGTGCCGAAATGGGCGCGGTGACGCATGCGGTTCCCGCCGCTGGGGCCTTCGGCGGAACCCCTTATGGGGGCCACGAAACGTGTGAGGGGTGTGCCGAAATGGGCACGATCACGCATGCGGTCGCAACCACTAGGGCCTTCGGTGGAGCTCCCTTTCGGGCTACGAAGCGTTTGAGGGGTGTCCCGAACATGTAAGGAGAAGGCATGTGAAAGCATCCGCTGGGGTCTTAGGCGTAGCTCCCTATGAGGCCACGAAGCAAGTGAGGGGTGTGCCAAAGTATGGTGGGGAGGGCATGCGAGCGCAACCACGGGGGCGTCAGGCGGAGCTCAATGTGTGATGGGTGCGCCAAAGTGGGGTGGCGGCGTCGTGCGGGCGCAAGGTGGAGTTCCCTATAGGGCCGCGAAACGTGTGAGGGGTGCGCCGAAGTGGGGTGGTGGCGGCATGCGGTCGCAACCATTGGGGCCTTAGGTGGAGCTCCGTATGGGGCCACGGAACGTGTGAGGGATGCGTCTAATTAAGGTGGCGGCGGCATGCGAGCACATCAATTTGGGCCTTAGGTCCCATGGGGCCGCGAAGAGTGTAGGTGGTGCGCCAAAGTAGGGTGGTGGGCATTCGGGCGCAAACACTGGGGGGGAGGGCGATGAGGAGGGAGACGCCAGGCGCTGCTGATTCAAAACGAGGACCCAGCGCAACTCAGAATGGCCCAGAATTGAGCGCCCAGATGTTCGGGGCGGGATGGATGGAGGGAGCCGAAGAACAATCAACGATATCAACATGCAGTTCCGGAGGTTCCGCGCCAGGGGTGGTGGCCCAGAGACGGTCCGAGAAATCCGCGCGGACCTCCCCAAGCTTGCGCTCATGCCGACGTGTTGTCTGCTGTGGCAGGCGGTCGGTTACGTTATGTGGCAGCGTCCGCCTGCCGCCTCAGGAAGGGCACTCGGCGGCCGTCGCGCAGCTTGCAGCCACCTTCACGGTGCTGAAGTCAGTGGCGGCGCAGACAGCGGCGCAGTGCCTCCAGAAGGACATGCCCGCCGCCATGGGCATCGCAGCATGGTGATGACTGCTGGGATGGCCCTGGTTGTAACGCAGACGATGCGCGTGGTGACAGCTTATACAGTCGGTCCGAGGTATCAGATCGAGGTCAGTTCGGGGAGGGTACCCTATTGTCCTTCATTGTTGTTGTTGGTTGTTGGGGAGGGTACCATTGGATGTTATGCTTGTTTTGGCTGACGGATGGTCTCGTGTTCTTGAAGGATGTTCCTTTGGCCTAGGGCGGACTGTAACGTTAATGATGTGCGTGGCGACAATTTGTAGCGACATGGATGCCCAGTCAGTTTGACAACAGCAGCGTCCTTGAGTCTCCAAGACCTCCTAATCGAGATCCTCGAGGGTCGAGGATGGATGTTTGTGGATCCTCTCGTTCTGATCGTGGGTCCAACCTTGTGATCCGCGAGGGTCGAGGGCGGATGCTTTTGGATGTGTGTGTGTGTTGACTTCTTGGAGGCCTTCGGAGGCCTTTGGCGGCGTTCCGCTAGAGGGCTCTAAATGGGGGGGAAATTGCACAGTAGAGCCCCAAGCTAGGAGAAGGGGAGCCCTTCCTTGACCGCCCGGTCCAGCAGCCATTTCGCTGGGGAACTCCTCACAATTTACAGTCGGGGCGCTGAAGAGGGAACCTTTTTCGTTGGGGAGGGGCTCGGTGTTCCTTGATCGTTTTGCAATTTTCCTTCGGCTTTCCATTGGAAATAGAAATTTTACTTGGGGAAAAGGGGGCTTCGTTCCTTATGTAGGGTTCCTTAGGTCAGCGCCCCGACTGTATGCAGGAATCACGTTCTGGCCCCGACGGCCACGAGCATGCTTGTGAAATACGCTGCGGTGCGCATGGCCGTGCTCACGCCCCTGTGCTCTGTAGTCGACATCGTCCTCGACGCGCCTCTTCACCTCAGCTGCTATTGGAGGAGTGTTCTGGGCAATGGTTTGATGATCGTACATAGCTGATCAAAAGCATGTGTGTTTCACTCGAGATCGCTCCCTTGTCTCTCGTTCTCTCGTTCTCTTCTCTCGTTCTATCTGCCCCTCTCTCTCTATCTCTCACACGCTCTCTCTCTCTCTCTCTCTCTCAGAACGGGACTCTCATTGCTCGCAGAACGGGACTCTCTCACCTCTTGTGCTGTGCCGGCTTGGAGATCTAAGCTACGGGAGTACAAGGCTCACGCACCTGTCCAGGATCGCGTTCACGGTCCCAGAATTCCGAACTCAATATAAAAATAGCGTCTTCTGGGAGTTCATATTCCATATCCCATACTCTACTCGATTGACTTGTTCCTCGTGCACTGGGCTGTTCAAGACGAGTTGCAATGCCTCAGACCATCACGGATATCCTGGACCAATCCGACGTTTTCTACCTGATCAAATCCTACCTCAGACGCCCTGAGAAATGGCTAAGAGGCCTGACGCAGACATCCATCCTGTGCTATCAGCTGTACGGGCCAGCGCTATGGGACATCGAGATGCAGTGGCTGAAGTACCAGGCAGAAGTGGCAGCGAGGGATCAGCAGACGTGGCAGTGGTACCTCTCGGCGGCGACAGTTCGTATGATATCAGGCAGAGCGACAGAGCCAGACGGCGGCCCCGAGTGCGAGAGCAGCAGCAGCGAGAGCTACGCGTGGGGCGTGGACATGTCTCGGACCTGGACTCCGTGGTTCACGCGCCCCCGCCACAGGAGCTGGAGCTCGGCAAGCTCCTGATCCCTGTCCCGCTGGATCAACCCCGTGCGGCCACGATTGGTCGCACAGTTTTGATGCATGCTCTTCGCAAGAATTCAGGCTTAACTCAGGGTGAAGTTGGCGCAGAAATCCGTTCTTGGTTGTGGTCACAACGGTTTCACAGACATTTTTGTGCATATCTCACGATTGCATTCTCAATACTTTCAGAATACATTGGTGGGCAGCCTGAGGGGACTCGTGCATTCCGAGGCCCAGCATTCTGGAGTACCATCGGCGTGGTATTGTTGATGTCTGGTCTCACGCGATTGGCACGAGAGTTGAGTCGTTCATCACCAGCGAGATGGGCGAGAAACACGTTTCGCATCCTTCCTCCAGAATGGCGTAGAGGTATCAGTGATTGGTCGGAGCCGATCGTAGAGCTAGCCTTCAAGAGCATGCTGGGCCTTCCCACTGATCCCCACAAGGCCGTGGTCTACATCCTCGGTTCCTACTCCTCCCTCTACCTCGGGAAGGCCATCTTGAGGACAGGTGTTCTTTCAGGAGTTCTGGGACGTATCCAGGAGCATCTTCGAGGACTTATGTTTCCTAGGGTTCGACCAGGGAATCGACCGCGTTATCGAGAGCTCCGACGTAGTCCAGGCTCCCTCTTCTTCCTCCCGATCCTGTGGCTCCCGACCGAGTCCGCGAGTCTGCACTTCGAGACGCTAGGGATCCGTCGTTTCCGACCAAGTGCGAATGAGGCCGATGCGAAGGAGTCCGAGTTCGTGAGCCATCGACGAGGCCTAGGAACCCTGTACACAACGCCAAAACCCAAGAAACAACGACGACGACCCCCATCCTGGCGACGACGCCCCCCACGACGAACCCCTCCCCCTGTATGGCTAACAGCGACGCCGACGTTCGACGCCCCACGACAGAATGACGAGACAGGCCCCCTAAGGAACTTTCCAGGTGCCCTATCTGAGGAAGCCCCGTATGGAGTTCTCTATGATCTACAGATTCGAGAACATTTTCACCTGACCCAGGAAGAAGGCCCCCTTTGGCTTCTAGATCCTCTCCGTCTCGGCCTGCTCCTAGCGTACCTGGCAAAGCAGTGGCACCCGTTGCCGTTTTGTAGATACTTGTCCAGAGTGGAGCAGGGTGCTATATACTTCAAGGCAGCGAGTATGTGCCACCTCTTCTTGACCAACTTTACACGACAGCGAATGGCGAAGTTCCATTTGAATCGACATTTGAAGGTCTTGAATCTGCCAGCCGCGAAGTTTCCAGTGCTCCGTCTTCCCCATGAGTTTCGACACCCGACCTACCAGCAAGTTATGAGAGGATCCGTAGTGCAACTAACCCGAAGCATGAAGTTTGAACCGGCACGCAAGTGGTACCAACGACCAACCCGAGTTTCGTTTAAGGCCCAGCGGAAGTGGAAGGACAAGGTGTCGGTCAGTAACTTTTGTGCTACCTACTCATCATCCTGCCTACCTGCTTCAGTCAAGGAGTCTCAGTTTGTGTCTGGTCCTCTACACCTACACGCCTTACCAGGATATTGGCGTCTTCCAGTGTGGTCTACTCCTAGAGTTACTCTACGTTCGGCTCGTGTGGCTCTCCAGGAGTGGCTCCAGGCAGCTAGACTAGGTCCTGTGCAGGTGCGTCGTGGACTCAGGTACCTATCCGAGAAATTCGCCAACATGACAAAACACCAAGAAGACCCCAGAGGACCCCAGCCACGTCAATGGCAAGACCTCGAGAGTACCCTGAAGACCTCTGTACGTGATGCCAAAGGCCTAACCATCATTGCTGATGATAAACAAGGTGATAAAACATGGGCAGCAGATGGTGTTGATGTGATACGCTGGCTCCACCAAACGGCTGAACTTGATGATGATTGGACTGTTCGCTATGATATATCTAGATATGATGCTGCTGCGTGGCTCTGGGCACGGGCTACACAAGGTCTCCCTGCGTGGTTACGAAAGGGAAATATGATGCCCCCCCCGTCCAAGACCACGAACCCCCCGTACGTTTTCCCCACGGTGAAGAGTAAATGCTTTCTGGATGATGGAACCCGATGTTGCACGAAACCAGGACATAGCTGTATGAGACGTATTGTGAACTCGGCAGATGCACCAGGAACTGAAGGATATAGGTATGTTGGACGAGCTACCCGTCACTTATTGAAGGCGAGTGGAGTGTCTTGTGAGGTGTTTAATATGAATGACGCGGCTCAGGAAGTCCGAAGAATCCAGGCTGAGCTTGATCCTCCAGCTACAGATACGTGCCTGCGATGCGGAGGGATGCTCCGCAATGTTTCAATTGTTGTAGCAGATGCGGACCAGGCGTATGAGCAGTGCAACTCAAGTTTGATCGGTGAAGCCTGGCGCGATGTCTCTCGGCGTATTGTACACCAGCTCGGCACGGACGCTGCACTGGTCAAGAGAGGACGTGAGGTAAAGACCCGCACGTTCTCAACCGGCACCCCGCCGAACTACTTCAAGATTTCAGTCTCGGATATCACGTCCACTTTAATGGCGTACTGCTGGCTATCGTTAGTCACGATCGGTGGCGTGGTTTATGAACTGAGAGGCTTGCCCATAGGGGGTGTCCTCTCAGGCGTTGCTCTGTCCATCCTGCTCGCCTGGTATGAGCTGCAGGCCCAGAGGAGGCCAGACCAGTTCGCGTCATCGGGCTTTGAAACATCCTCTACTACTTCCTCTCCTTTCCCGTCGTCGTCTACATCGGTCGGGGTTCGACAACGTAGATATGTGGATGATATTTTAGGTGTGAGTAAAGTTTATTGCAGATTATGCGTTTTCGAGTACTTGAAATTGGTTTACAAGGTGAAGCTGTCCCCCGCATCCGACCTAGAGGACCCCGAGGCTCCCTGTATCTGGCTGGACCTAGAGCTGTGGCCCGACGGGGACTCCTGCTGGATTGCCCCGAAGAATGATAACAGACCTTGGCTCGTACAGCATGAACCTGGACCCCGTCCTAAATCCAACATACCCCCCTGGCCTGGTGTGGCCCCGAGGGGCTTCGGTATGGTTGTAGCTTTGTTTTCTGGACGTCTCGCGCGTGCCCAGTACCTATCCCTGACTATCCCTGTAACACTCTCGTGGATCCTGGAACTGGCCCTGGAGATGCACATACTACAATACCCACCCAGATTGATCCTGGCAGCCGTACATGCGTGCCCCTGGTCCGTCGCCATCCAGAAGGCTCGAGTTGTACTTCGGCAGTGGTGCAGATATTTCCTACCAGAAGTTGTCCGAATGGGCCGTTCGGACGAGAGACGCCAGCCATGGGTCAAGTACGATTCAGGACGTGATGACCGTCGAGGGGGTGGAGGTTCCTGGTTCTCCGATCGTGACCAGTGGACCAAACGTGAAGGTGACAGGGACTCAGGCTATGATAGACGTGAGTGGGACCGCCGCCGTGAGAGCTACAGCAATGACAAACACCACGATCGCGATCGTGATCGTGACAGGCGTCGGAGCCCTGATGATCGAGACGACCGCCGAGAGCGCGACCGTGACGACCATCGTGGGGATCGGGATCGGCGCCAGGCTCGCTCTCGCTCCAACTCTGGGCAGAAGCGTGAATTGGAGATGATACGACGCGAGCTGGCCGATCGTGACCCAGAGTATCGTGCGTTTGTCAAGGACAAGAAGGACAGGGCCGAGGAGATGCAGCTACGCCGCCAAGGGGAGTACATCGCGGCTGCGATGAAGACGGCCTTCGGGGACCGCATCTCGAAGCTCGAGGGCGACAAGGACAAGGACAAGGACTCCAACAGGGACAAGGAGAAGGACGACGCCACGAAGCGCACCTGGACCCCGACTCCTGTTGCCGAGCCCCCCGATGCTGGAGACATCATGGGGCGACCAGAGGTCGGATGGCTTCAATCTATAATTGGGAAAAAATGCAGTCTTCCTGGCAAGCTTAGCTGGGGCCAAGCGACTAAGATGCTCGAGGAGGCTATGAAGGACAAGGTTGTGGTTGGGCAGTGCAACAAATGCATTGAGGCCCACTTCCCGCGCAAGCAGGTGCCTGCCTCCAAGACGAAGAAGGCCACGACGGTGCTCAACATCATCAACGGCTCGGCGATCTGAATGGAGACGGACCCACGGGAAGCTGATTGTGACGACACCCTTGGAGATGAAATCTATGATGATTGCTATCTCGGCCAAGTTCACCGTGAGTATCTTTTGGTTTCATTTCTAGCAGGCTTCGTGGCCGCCTGCGTGATCTGGATTTTACTGCCGGTTGACGATTGGCCGATTTCTCGTGTGTTGAAAGCATATGTGACGCTAAATTGGTCCCATACGCGTGAAGTATGGTATTTACAGAATCTCATGAATTATGTCCAGTTGCCCTTCACCTTGGCCGACTCTCAGGAGAAAGCGGTGGTGCAGCAGGTGGTGACAGGACTCATGGGCGCTTCAATCCCGATGCTCATGGGATGCGTTCAAGGTCGGCCGAATATGAACCTCCTTTCCCTGACTTCCCTCTCCAAAAATACGAAACATCGGAGGCAACTTCCTAATGATGTGCCAATCGTGGATTAGTGCTGATCGGGAGTTCTGAGCTCGTATTTCTCCTCCCCTGTACCCCGCCTGACGCCAGCGACCCGCCCCACCTCCGAGTTGAATAGGTGCTTGGACTGTGCTACCACGGGTGGCCGATCAGTCCGTCCTCGCCCTCACCTAGGCTCCAATTCGGGGGACCCAGCTGGCCTGACCCAGACGATATGACGACGTGCGAAGACGACGACGACGATGTCGACGATGAAGGCGACCCGAGGGCTGGCTCTGCAGGACCCGCCCCTCCTTGAGTGGCAAGGCTTCGCCACCCTGGACTCCCACTCAAGGCCCAGCTGTAGGTTTTCCCTCACCCGCCTCCGACGTTTACGATGGGATGACTGTCCTCCCCTCTCCCCTCTTCGGTGCCGTGCCCCTGTCCGCAGGTGCTCTGTTCCCCGTGAGGCCCTCCCCCGCGAGGCGGGAGACACCCGTGGGTGTGCATCCCAGGAGATGCACGGGGTGTTCAAGGTCTCCCTTCCTCCATCCTCTGTCCAGCCTCCCCCTAGAGTCGGCGATGCGACCCCCAACAGCATCATCACCAGCTTCAGCCAGGCGCGCCCACGTGATGGGCCTCTCTCTCTCTCTCTCTCTCTCTCCCACCCGAGAGTCCTTGTGATCCTACTTCCCATCCTTCTCTCTCATCCCCACGTTGTGTTTTTTCCAGTGTTCTGTTCCTCCGCTCGTTTCGGCTTAGGCCATACGAGGGTGTCAGGCGCCCAAGGCACGCTCACCGCGCACTGACACGGTGCCTCCCGTCATCGACGGGACTCGTGGCCGCAGCGATAAATCAAGGTTCACATTGCTCGCAGAACGGGACTCTCTCTCTCTCTCTCCCGCCCCCTGTGGCCGCCCTCGCGCCCCCCGTGGCCCCGCTCTTCGTCGCGCTGCTCCGTGGCATCGGGGCCAGCCCCCTGTCGTGCGCTGCAGTGGCCGCACGCCGAGCGGGCCTCGCGTAGGACCCCTCACTCCAGGCCCCGCCCAGGAGGGGCAAGGCCAGGAGGGATGGGCACAGCAAGCCTCGTGTCGGTTCCTGCGATTCGATTCGGTTCGATTCCGATGGCTTCCGATTCCGATTCGATTCGACTTCAGATCCCGATGTGGATTCCCATGCCTCATTGGAGGCCTGCTAGCCTGCCGATTTTCGCCGATTCGACTTCTCCCGACACGGCTGCCGATCTCCGCCGATCCGATTCATTTCGATCGCCGATCCGACTTATCGATTCGATTCTGGTCTCGCCTGCACAGGGGCGGTGTTCCAGCCTCGGGTTGCTCTCTGGCGGCTGCACCTCGCTAAGGGCGTTTGGGGGTATCGGGCTGGTCCTGAACGGCCGCAGGGGGCCCAAGGTATGCCCCCAAAGCCAGAGGTCGAGGATCAGAGTCGGAATCGAAGATCAGGGGCAACGTTTCGGGGGTGTGGGCTCAGGGGGGGATGCATCGACCCCCACTCGTCCATTTGCCGCCAGTAGGGTGGGTCCCCATAGCCTATCACGCCCAGGAACGTGCGGGCTCGCTATTGGAGACCTACTTCCCTCCGATTCCAGCTACATGGTTCCCCCCCTGAGCCAGTCCCCCCTCAACGTTCCACCTCGGCCCAGGCCAGTGGGTCCGCCGAGCGCGGCGCTAGTACCCGCGGCGGCCGAACAACTTCCTGTTCGGATGAGTCTCCTTCTCTCTTCGTATTCCTCCCCCTTCCTCTTCACGCGGGTGTGCCGGTGCGTGCGTGCGGCCGCGCACCCAAAGCGGGGAAGAGGGGGACGGAAGTGGGCGGAGTATTGGCGTGCGAGTGCGACGTTCGCAGGTATGCGTCGTGCCGACGCGGCGGCGACCCCGCCGCGGCCCGTGGAGTTGGAACGCCGCCAGTGGCCCGGAGTCGGTCGATCTGGGATGATCTGGCGGTTCGAAAGCCGGAGGAGGAGGAGGAGGAGGAGGAAGAGGAAAAGGAAGAGGATCAGGAGGAGGGAAAGAAGGAAGAGGAGGAGGGGGAGGAGGAGGGGAAGGAAGAGGATCAATGTCAAAAGAAAAAGGAGGGGAAGAAGGACGAGGAGGAGGAGGGGGAGGAGGGGGAGGGCGAGGAGAAGGTGCCCCCCCCCCTGCGCATCGCATGCCTTGGCCGGGAGCGGAGGGGCCAGCCGCGGAACGCCCGAGCAGGACCCCAGCCAGTACAGGCTGGCGCCGTCCACGAGGCTGCGGGGTGGCCCCGAACGCGGGACGGGGCCCAACCCCTGCGGATAAAATAATTGAGGGATGCCTCCCTCCTTCTCGCCCTCCTCCTCGCCCTCGCCCTCCTCCTCCTCCCCCTCCTCGTCCCTCCTCCTCCTCTTCCTCCTCCTCCTCCTATTCCGTCCGCCCTCCTCGGTCCTCCTTCGCCCGCTCTCCTCCCTCGTCCTGCATTGTATGGGTATCGAGCCATTGCGTATGAGACCCTGCACACCCAGTCTCTACTGCGACGTGGAATGTGTGAGCTTTCTCGGACCACAAAGGATCGTGAACCCTTGACTGCAGCTCACCCCCGAACCTATAGGGTCTGGGGACCGATCCCTCGGGGGGTCGTAGAGAGGGGTCTCCTTTCTCCCTCGATGCTTCCCCTCTCCATCCCCCGTCCTTTTTCCCCGCCCATGCCCTTTTTGTTTCCCTGCCGCCCTTCCCCCCGCCCCCAGACCTCCCTCGCCTCCAGGGCGGCGGTAGAGAGGAGAGAATCTCGGAGCAGGGGACCGTGGGAGCAGGAGCGCGTCGGGAACCCCCTCTCCCATGAGCGAATGAGGGGTGGAGGAGGTCTGGAGCCTCGAGGAAGCGCAAGGGCGGACTGAGGCGCGTGGATCAGCGACGGGCCCCGCTGCCATGCAACATCGGCGCGCACCGTCGCCTGGTCAGGCGGCGTTGGCCTCACGTTTGGGGGGGAGCCTTCCCCGATCCTTGGATCTGGGACCCACGCGCCAGATCCGCGGATCCGCAGTCCATGTCATCGTGCGCCTCGGGAGGTGGAGGCGCAGGAGGCGGGAGAGCAGGAAGCAGCCTCCTCCTCCTCCTCCTCCTCCTCCTCCTCATTGTTCTCCATTATTTTTCCTGATGAAGAGCGCTGCCCCGTCGCGCCCCGAGGCCGGTCGGAAGGGTGGGCCGAGCGTGTTGCTTGAGCAATATTTACCACTGACGAGCCTGAATCTTAGAACATGGCAACAGCTTTTCAGCTGCAGGGTGGGCCGCTTCCAACATGTGGCTCTCGCCTTAGCGCCGCACGTACTCGTCTGAAACGTGTGCAAGGGTTTAACGCATTGAGGGTTGCCGATTTCAACATGTCGCTCTCGTCTTAGCACCGCCAGAACAAAATGTATGAGCTTCACGGATTGAGGGAGTATCGTTTTCACATGTGGTTATCGCCTAAGCGCCGCTCGCATTCGTTTTAACCATTTGCATGAGTTTCACGGATTGAGGGCGGACCGTCTTCAAATTGTGGCTCTCGCTTTAGCGCCATGCGCATTCGTCTTACATAATTGCAGAAGCTTCGAGGATTGAGGGCGGCTCCTTTTCAACATGTGGCTCTCGCCTTAGTTCCGCGCACATCTGTCTTTGAGTTTGCCTGGCGAAGAACCCAACCATATCCTGTTGTGAGGACCGCAGTTGTGGGTACCGTCTTCGGTGGAGCTCCCGATGGGCCATGGGGTGGCGCATGCGAACTTTGCCGCTGGGGCCTTCGGTGGAGCTCCTTATGGGCCACGAAACGCCGTTATGGGTGGGGGAGACGCATGTGAACTTTGCCACTGCGGCCTTCGGTGGAGCTCCCTATGGGGCCACGAGGCGTTGCACTGGGTGGGGGAAACGCATGTGTACTTTGCCACTGGGGCCTTCGGTGGAGCTCCCTTATGGGGCCACGAAGCGCTGTCTCCCTATGGGGCCAGGAAGCGCTGTACTGGGTGGGGGGGGCGCATGCGGGCAGCAGCACTGGGACCGTCGGTGGAGCTCCCTTATGGGGCCACGAAGCGCTGTACTGCGAGGGGGGGGGGGGGGGGGCCTATGCGGGCGGTAGCACAGGGGCCTGCGGTGGAGCCCCTTGTGGGGCCACGAAACGCTGCACGGGGGGAGGGGGGGACGCATGCGGGCGGTAGCACTGGAACCTTCCGTGGAGCTCCCTATGGGGCCACGAAACGCTGTACTGGGTGAGGAAGGGACGCATGAGGGCGGCAGCGCTGAGACCTTCGGTGGAGCTCCCTGTGGGTCCACGAAACGCTGTGTTGTGTGGGCGCATGCGGACGGTAGCACGGGGGCCTTCGGTGGAGCTCCCTACGGGGCCACGAAGCGCTGTACTGGGTGGGGGGGGACGCATGCGGGTGGTATTATTGGGGCCGCCGGTGGAGCTCCATATTGGGCCACGAAGATCTGTACTGACAAGGGCGGACGCATGTGGGCGGTAGCACTGGGATCTTCGGTGGAGCTAGCTCCCAGGCCAGGCGGCCGATCCCAGAACTTCGCGCGGATCTCCGACCATTATTGTTTAGGTAGTTGTCTCTTCTTTCCACGAGCCAAGGACATGGTAGGATCCATGTTGATCCGATCGATGTGATTCGATATCGGTGCATGTTGGCGCGATCCGTTTTGATTCCGACATTCCAACGATCCGATGCGGCCCGATATTTGCACGGCGTTGCTGTAGATCCTGGCGCAGCCCATCCAGCTCGAGTTCGACTCCGTGCCGAGGCGGGCCGATCAAACGCGCGTCTTGATTCGACCCGAGGTTCCGATTCGATGCCGATGAACCCTGGGGCCAAGAGCAACGCACCTGGAACGAAGACAGCTCACCAGGAGCAGCGAGGGCGGTGCACCCGTCGCCTCGGCGCCCTCCCCGCAGGTACGCGGCCAGCCAGCTGTGAGACACGAGGGCCAGCGGCAGGCAGAACCCGAGGGGCCCGCCTGCGCCTCCGGGCCCCCCGCTGCTGCCCCGCCTCTGCCCAATCGGCCGCCCGCTGCAACGGCCTGCGCGCTGGTGACCGTAGACCTCCGCGCGGGTGTGTAATTCAGCGCCGGGCAGCGCGTCGCGAGCCAAGGGCACGGAGGAGCGAGGGCTCCAGGTTCCGAAGGCGGGCAAGCGGTGCGGACCGCAGTGGCATGGTGCGATGCGTCGTTGCATGGGGAGATTGGCCTGTGAGTCGTCGTCGTTCGTCGTCGTCGTCGTCGTCGTCGTCGTCGCCGCGTCGGCGTCGGCGTGAGTCTGCCTGCGCCTTTTCAGGGGGGATCTCCGTGTGCAGCGGGTGGCCAACTTCAGGAACGGACTGCCGCAGAGGCACACAGTTAGCCGGCCACCCCGTTTGCTACATAGGCCTTGAGGTTGTTTGCGGCCAGAGTTCTGGGAGGAGGTAGCGGATGCGCTTGCTCCGAGAAGGGGTAGTTGGCGAACCACCGCTTTTCCCCTTTGGAAGCTGCTCTGGCGAGCCATCGCAGCGCCCTCCTCCGCTTTTGAGGACGAGCCCTTGGCTGGACTGTTGCCAAACGTCGAAACCATTCACAATCTCTGGTGAGAGAACGACACACAGTCAAAGCTAGAGGGAGGAGGAGTGAAAAAGGACACGGCGATGAAGGAGCTGGAGGTACGGGTGCGAGCAGTCGGAGCCCAGGGGGGGGTCTCCCGTTCGAGCGGAGACCCCCCATCCGACAACACACAATAGCCCCCTCCTGGGAATTCCACCCCGAGAAATCTGGCGGTCGCATAGTTATTGGTATGGGTGCCAGGTGTCAGCTCGTGAACCTCGATTCACCGAGCTCTTCTCTTCCGTCCTGGGGCGGCTGGAGAGTTCCTCCCCTGTGAGCTTGGCTCGAGCGTCGCTGCCCTCCGACCAGTTTTGTCGCCGCGCCTCGAGTGGGCGCTGGCGCAGCAGAGGCTGCGTGTACAGGTGTCCTGCGCACGCCTGGCTGGTTCGAATTCTCTGCACTGCGCAGCGGTCGCGCGAGCCGTTCTCGCTTCGTCCCCGAGCGAAGAGAAACACATTGACCACGACCGAGATGTTGTAGGATCTTGATGGTCATGGTACATGTAGGCCGTCGCCGATGCGCGAGGATGATCCACGAATTGATGCTGACCAAGATGGGCGGTGACCAAGATCGGCACGACGTTTCCGCGCTCCGTCTTGGTCATGGTCCCCGCTTGTTCCTCGGTTCCTCCATCTGCCATGGTTGTTGCCCACGTCTGAGATCTCTTTGGCGATTGGGGGGTGGACAGCGGTGCCGTTTCTGTGCATGTCTCGGGCAAGCTGTCAGGATGTTGTCCAGGAGGGGTTCAGGGGAAGATTTGAGCCGTCCCGGGCTACCCAATGGAGGCACCCAATGATCCGTCCGCTTTTGTTGGCAGAGTTGATCCAGGGGAATAGACGGCAGCCCCTGCATCGCCGTCGTAGTCTCAGTCTTCGCATCCGTATGGTTCTTCATCACCGCCATTGTTCCGCTGGCCCCGCTGGATGTGAGCACGTGCTCTGCTCACGCAAGCGCGTCGACATGGAGCACAGGAACCTACATGTGACAAGCCCCAATCAGTGCTTTGCACTGAAGAGTCCTAGTGGATGTTGAAAGAATGTGGTCGATTTTTCTATTAATTTTGGAGTGCGGACGGGCTCCCCCGATCCCAGCTCCCAGTGCTGGGCTCCGAGAGGTTCTGGAGAGCACAGAGGGCTGGGAAGGTATGGAGGGGTGTGGACACTGTGGTGTTGCATATTTTGCGACATGCAGGGGTGTCACGGAGAGAGGCAGTAAGAGAGAGGAGTGTGGAGACGACGACGACGACACCGACGACGACGACGACGCGGACGTCCGACGAAAACGACGCCCGACGACGTCCGGTTCCCGAGGTCCCGCTCTTCTCCGTCTCGAACGTCCCGCTCTTCTCCGTCCCGAGCGTCGCCAGTGCATCGGCAGTCTTACAATGTCGCGCCGGTGGGGCACCCCAAAGCACGTTGGGTCTTACTGTGTCGCGCCGGTGGAGCGCCGATGCTCGGGGCGGAGGTGCGCGGCGCGCGCGCGGCGCTCTGGCAACCGTAGTCAGATCCGTCGTCTCGTGGTCGGCGGGCCACGCCCACTCCACCTCCGCTTTCCTCCTCCTCCACCCTTCCACGTCGGCGTACTCCTGGCGACGCGCGTTCCTCTTGTCGCTCGTACTTCTACGACGTCCGACGACGACGACGACGACTGACGGGCGAGCGACGAGCGCGCGCGGAGGCGGAGCCCGCGGCGGAACCCGCGGCGTGGGCGGCGGGCGGGGCGGCGCTCTCGCCGCGTGAGAGGTGGCGCGGGGGCCGTGCCACCTCCCCGCGGCCTCCATCCACCGCGGTGTGCCCCCCGCCGCAGAGGGCCATTCGCTTGTGACGTGAGAGCGGCAGCGGTTGTGCGTTGCGAGCCGCCCTGTCAGTTCGTCGTCGTTCGTCCTTCCCGCCACCTCGTGCGCCCGGACAGTCGGACCAAGGTAGAAGATATCGAGGTCGATTCGGGGAGGGTACCCTAATGTTGTTCTTGTTTGTTGGACGTTCTTGTGCACCCTGGGGAGGGTACCCTTGGAATGTCTGTGCGTTTTGGCTGGCGGAGGGTCTCGTGCTCTGAAGGGATGTTTTCCTGCCCTAGGTTCGATTGTAGTTGGGGTGATTGGGGAACCGTCAGCCTGGAATGATAGAGTTTGGTATCGTTCGGACGTGTGCTTTCATCTCGGTGAGGCAAGCGCAAGAACACCTGGGTCGTCTAGGAGCATCTTGGACCAAGCCGAGAGAAAGACACGCGCGACACTAAACAATGCACTGAAAATGCACGTCCGAGCGATGGAAGAAGGGGAACACCCGCCCCCCCCCCCCCGACCGTCCTTTTTCAGGGCGGGGAACAGCGCTCCCAGCGGTGAAAGATTTGCTGTCATTCCCCCGCGGTTGCGGCGGCTAAGTATGGAGCTGTGGCGTTTCAGTTCCTGTCGCCTGCTAAGATTCGGGTGATGTCGAGAGACGTGGCCTCCGCGATCTTGGGCCGATCACACACTTATTTGTCTTTACCACACCCTCCTCTGAACCCGCAGCGCCGCGCGTCTCCTCCTTCCCCCTCCATCCTCTTCCTCCTCCTTTTCCTCCTCTTCCTTCTTCTCCTCCTACGGCTGATTCGTGATTCGTGCATGAAAGATACTCGAGTTCCGAAAGGCCGAAAGACCCAAGCTAGCAACGACGTGGATCATGTACTCGCACTAAAACGGTCAGTCACGACGCCACTTGGATACGCTTCGATGTTCCACCCGAGAACATCGGCAACTATCATAGCAAATCTCCATGCCATATTTTTTTTGGCATGGGTGTCTCAGATAATTGGGTAGCCTACCAGCACGCAGCTTACCCGTGCGCACGATGGACTGCAAAGGCAGAGCTGGCAGTGCATCAGTCCCTCAGGGCGTTTTTTGTCAGGACGATTGCTTCGCGATCGGCCATCAGTTCATGGAACCCACGAACACCAACGTTTGTTTTTTTATTTTCTTTTTTTCAGACAGTTGTGGCATAAATTTATTTTGCGCGTTGTCAACACGTTCTTTCCTCACGGCGTTGGACCCCGCATAACAAATTAAGCGCGGACTCTCAGCATCGGATTGATTACACATGTATACCATTCGGACATTCGACACCGTGGGCCATTCACCCGGCATATACCTTCGACAGGGCGGGATATCGGCGTCAGCGTATGCAGAGCCTACGCCGTGCATGCCGTCGGCCCGTGCATACCAATATCGGTATATCCGGTTGCAGTACCACGGTGTTTCTACGGATACCAGATGATATAGAGAGTCCTTTATGCAGGATATGTTGCACGGCGGCCAGCGAGATGTGGTTTACGACCAATTCACACAACGGCGTCAGAGCAGCGAGCAGCAGTTGCAGTGATTGATGCAAGACGGGTCTTTCACGCAGGCATGGCAGTTCCTTATTGAATTATTCAAGGATGTTGCACAGCATTCCTTCGCCCCTATCAAGGACACGGTGCAGCATTAAAAAAAACGCAGATCAAGCTTAGCATTCTTCGGGAACGGCGCGACCTCCGACAGGCAACTGCGCAACAATGGAATCACGACGGACATGGACCTCTTCGGTGGATCTGCCGACCTCTCGGCATTGGCGTTTTTTCGCATTCGAGTCGTGATCTTCTCCGAGGTTGGCGCGTAGCAGTACAGCTATCCCGAGCCAGCAGAATGGTTACCGCACAGACTCAGACGGCACAGTCAGATCGACAATTGGCACTCATGGAGGCGTGCTCTCAGGCGTGGATGGATCGCAGACGCGCTGAAACAGACCAGCCAGCACGACAGATCACCAGCAAACGGTTTGGAACTAAGCGACGACGATGTGAACGATCAGCTCCCATTGATATTGATGGCGGCGGAACCGGACGCTTGATTCTCACAGGCCGGGAGAAGCAAAGGTTGGGGGGCACAGCTTTTCATTCACGCGCAGCGTGCTTGCCTTCCTCCTTCAGCTGACGTACGACGAGAGGCCGAGCACGACCTTCTTCCAACTATTTGTTCACTTGGTGAGGCCAAACAAAAACGACTAGCTTTTCCAGATTGGGATCTACCAGCTGAAGTTTGGCGCATCTGGCTCCCTCCTCCTTGTGGCACGATTGCTCGGCATGGTGTTAGACTGGGAACCCCTACTGAACAGTTGCAATGTATTTTCGATCGTCTACTTCAGTTTCTCGCATGGTTCGATCTAGCGGAGAAGCCCCGCAGCAACGGCATCGTGACGAATGTGCTGGCACCCCTAAGGACTGAGAAGACACGCGCTGAACTCTTGGTGTTGGATCGTACAGTAATGCTTTTGTATCGAGGCTTGTGTCAGAATCATTTTGCAGACGTTGTGCATCCACATGCGCATTGGCTTCCTGGACGACGGTGCGTGGGAGCCATCGCAGCTGCTGCAGTCATGATGGAACATGTTAGATGGACAAAAAACACACACCGCGCCCTTAGCTGCGACGCGGCCAACGCCTTCAAGTGTGCGAAGCAGGACACGGTCATCTTGCTGGATGATCGCATTGGCGCTTGCGTCACGGAGTTTAACAAGATTGGTGCTCGAGTAATTTTCATCTCGGCGAGGGCGTTGTGCAGGGCAGTTATCTGGGCGTGGGGCCTTCCGGGGAACTTTACGGCGCTTCCGCGGGCTATTGGCGAGCAGATGCCATGGAAAACCTCGTGTCACGCACCGTCGGCCGCGCGCGACAACGTCGTCGACATTTCGATTCTCAGATTCGTCGACGACGTTAGGCGCATTCGCTGCGCGAGTGGCTTCACCCACAGGCAGGACCAGGCCCCTCGGCGCATTGGACCCCGATCCGAACGCCCTCGAGGATTGGGCGCGCGCCGAGCGGGAAGAAGCGAGAGGCCACCGCTTTCTTCATGGGAACATGTCGGGGACTACACAGACGCGCGCGCAGATCCTCGGATGCCAGGTCGAGATCTACGTGGGGCGCGAGATCTTGGGCCAATGACCCATTGTCGTTGGTTTACCAGGTTTGAGCTCCAGCGACGAGCACGCGCGTGCACGGAGAATTTGCATATATTTCAAGAGTTCTGGTTCAGCAATGTTTGCAGAACTCAAGCTCACATTTTTCCGCATGATGTGCACGTATTGGTTGATGTCGCGTGTCCGGGGCAAGCTTGACGCGATTCAGATGCGGCGCTGCCGCGTCCTGGCGACTGGCGCCGCGGCCGCGGCCGCGACCTTCGCGCGCGGCACCGAGGAGATGACTGCCATTCGTTCGTTCGCATTTCGCAGATGCTCCGGCTCGCGCCCGTCTCGTTGGAGCTCAGGGCTCAGAAATTGCGGCGGTGCCGGGCTATGTTCGGGGCCCCTGACCGAGTTGAGCAACCCCCAGCCA